GTCTCACTATATATCCCTGGCTGGCCTCAAACTTGCTGTGTAGACCGTGCTGCCCTGGGATTGACAGAGATCTGCCTGCCTCTGCCTCCTGAGTACTGGGATTAAAGGTGTGCACCACCATGATCAGAAAAAAAAAGAATATTAATATACTGCTGGTGGGAATGTTGACTAGTAGACATCAGTATTTTTTTTCAAAAAACTAAATAGTGCTACCATATGATATAGCTATATCCCAAGGTGATTACAACTGTTAATTTTTAATGTACAAATAGTGGTATCTGCATACCTTTGTTATTAGGGTATGCAGGTACCACTATTGTTATTGACAGTAGCCAAGTTATGAACTCTGTCCATGTGTACGTCAGTGGATGAGCTAATGCATAAAAAATGTGACATATATACTCAATGGATTATTACTCAGCCACAAGAAGCAAAATCATACCATGTGAGGGAAATCAAATGGGACCAGAGCTGGAGATCACCTTGTTAAATGAAGTAAGCCAGACTCAGAAAAATAAACATCAATTATTTTGTCTCTTGTGTGTAAAACCAAAAACAAAAGGAGAAGGGAGACTGCTCTAGATTGCTCTTGGCTGCTATGAGAAAACACAGACCAAAACAAACTTGGAAAGGAAAGGGTGTATTTGGTTTACAACCTGCAACCTATCACTGCGGGGAAGCTGGGGTAGGTCCTAAAGCAGAGACCATGGTGGGATGCAGAGACCATCAGAAGAGGAAGAAGTGAAGGTAATGGGGTCACAATCAAAGCATGTTATGTGGTGTCACAATGAGACATTTTGTGCAGTTATTATAAGTTAATGAAAACCAAGCTATTTTTCTTGGTGTTAGGGAGTGAGCTTGGGGCCTTATGCATGCACTAAGCATGCACTGTACCACTGCAATATGCATTAGCCAAGATTCGTTTAGTCTACCATTCACTACACTTTCAGTCATTCAAGCTTGGACTGTGTTATACAAGGACATCTTTGCAAAAATATGTATATTATACATTGAGCATGCCACCTCAGTGGGCATGCTCATTCCCTGTCCACCCCTCTCCATCCTATTAGTCTTCTTTGTTGCCCTCGATAAACTTACTTCTTACTTTTCATGTCATAATTACATCCATGATCTTATACAGTCTATGTAAAATCTGTGAACTACAGAACAGAGAAAACATACATCTTTCTTCACTTTATTTAATTATTTATAGTTGCATCTATTCTGCAAATGATGTAACTTCATTCTTCTTTATGGCCAAAAAGAATTCCATTGTGTACATATACTCCATTTTCTTTATCCATCCCTCAGCTGTTGGATACCTAGGGGAGTTCTGTAACTTAGCTACGGTAACAGTGCTGACAACAAACAATGGTGTGTAAGTGTCTCTTCACTATGCTGACTTGATGGTGTGTGAGCAAATAGCTTGTCTGGATTTTGTTGTTGCTAATTTTTTTCATTTCTTCTTCCTTTTAAAGGAATGTCATGTAATACAAATGTTTTAAAATTCATCCTCTTGGGCTGTACAAAGGCACTGCTAATATTTTAGCCCAGGATCTCCTAAACAGTATAGATTACTGATGTTCATGTTTGCCTCTCAGGAGTTGAGGATGGGCCCCAGTTGCTGAAGACACCACACACTTAGGACACAGGACTCAGTGATTCTCATTAGATTTGACCTGAAAGCCCCTTTCCTGCAGTCTGGCTTCCTTGGTCTCAGAAAATAGTATGCAAGCTGTGAAGGAAGGAAGCAATTAAACAGTCCTACTTAGCTGCACCATCTTTGAACCATCAGCATGGCAATATATGCATGAAGATGTAATACATGGCACCCACACTGGCATACCTAGCCAGCTCATGAGGTCAGGGGCTTTAGAAAAGAATCTACTACCTCCATTTCACTAAACCAGCATAATTCTTTACAACATTCTAAATCTTGCCCTTATACCCACAGATAAGTGTAGCTACCACTCCTCATCACTTCTTTACAGCAAGTGGAGACCATCACAGAAAACCACAACTGGACATATAATGCAGAGATCAACAGATCCTGGGTAGCCCAGCCCCATGGATATATCTACACTACAACTCCTGCCTCCATGGCCAGAGAACATCACATACGAGGGGATGGAAAGATTGTAAGAGCCAGAATACAAGGAAGTCTGCTATGAAACAGCCTTTCCTAGAAATGGCTGCATAAATAATACTAGGACAATGGTAACATCAGTAGCTCTGTTAATGTGGAAGGGGAAATTTTTCATGGGGTCCCACCACTAGACAAAGAAGTACAAGCAATTAATAACTGCTGGAAAAGGAGTTATCCATGTCCATAATTAGCCTCTCCCAGGGGTGTAGCCCTTTACTGGCTATCCAATAAATAGGGATCAACCTTGAAACCATATATATTCCAATGCCAAAAAAGGACTCAGCAGGTTTTTTGTGTGTGTATTTGTGCACATATATCCACATATAATAACAATAATAATCAAAGGAAAAGAGGCTATTAATTTGAGATTAGGGGTAGGGGATTGAAGGAGGTGTTGGAGGATGGCAGTGATGTAATTCTATTTCAATTAAAGCAAAAAAAACTTTAACAAGGTATACAATATTCATAAAGCTGGGCAGCAACCATTACTGTCTAGTTCATTTTTTTGTTTTTTCAAGACAGGGTTTCTCTGTGGAGGCTGTCCTGGAACTAGCTCTTGTAGACCAGGCTGGTCTCGAACTCACAAAGATTCGCCTGCCTCTGCTTCCTGAGTGCTGGGACTAAAGGCGTGTGCCACCACCGCCTGGCTTACCTAGTTCATTTTAATCACCTCTAAAAGGAACTTGTATCCATTCATAGTTATTCCTTATATCCCCCTCCCACAGTACCTATGAACCATCAGTCTGCTTTTTCTGTCTGTAGATTGCATCTTATAAACAATTAATCTGTCGGCGTCACACAATATGTGATCTCTTGTGTTGGTTTCTTTCCTTGTATTTCACTTCTTTCAGTTGTTTGACTAAAAGCATATAATATTTTAAGGCTCATTCATGTGATAGCATCCATCTATTCTTCATTCCCTTTTATTGCTAAAGATAGTACATTGTGTGGAGATACAGACATCCATTCTTCTCTGCTGGTCAAGGCTTCATCAATGTAGCCGGTTTTGGGACTCTCTTTCCTCACTTATTGTCTCTGTAGAATTCTTATATTCACTTTCTTATTTTCCTTACCTCTTCTCTTTCTTTTTTTTTCCTTTTTGAGACAGGGTTTCATTACGTAGTCCTGGCTGTCTCGGAACCCAATGTGTAGACCATGCTGGTCTTGAACTCACAGAGATCCACCTGCTTCTCTCTCCCAAGTGCTGGGATAAAAGGTGTACACCACCACTGCCCAGCCTCTAGTATTCTCTTAACTGTGCAACTCTACATTCAAACAAGTATTTTATACAGCGGTGTATCAGCTTTGTTCTGGGATGATTTTATGGGCTAATAATCTTCACTTTAGTGAAAAATAGAAATCCACTTGATTCTTGAAGAGTGATGAACTCTGTAATAGAAATTTGGTTTCTTTCAGGTCCCTGTTACTTTCCAAGTCAAATTTGTTTATCTGCCTTAATTGTGTTGCATATTTTATTGTACTCTGTATGTGGCAATTTTACAAAATACTCAATTTCTTGAGGGTTGACCTGGTATCTAATTCACCTTTGTATACTCAGCATATAGAACAATTGTTTTAGGGACTGGAGCGATGGCTCTGAAATGGCTGCTCTTGTAGAGGATGGGAGTTTAATTCCAAGTCTCTACTGTAGGCTGGCTCTCAACTGCCTGTAACTCCAGGACTCCGCAGTCACATATTCAGGCACTCACTCACACACAATCTAAAGAGCAATACTTTACACACATAACTATTTAATAAGTACAAATATTAAACTGAAGCACATATCGATCAGATGCATCTTAAGTTGCTTGGAATAGTCATTCTAAGACTTAATTTAAAGTTTTTCATTAATTTTTTAAAAAATATTTTAAATTTAAATGTTATTTATTTGTTTGTTTATTATTGTGTGTGCATGATATGTATGTAGGTGCACGTATGCCACAGCACCTGTGTGGAGGTCAGAGGGCAACCATGTGAAGTTCATTCTTTCCTTTCACTTTTTTGTGGGTTATAGGGATCAAATTCAGGTCATAGGCTTGTGTGTCAAGATCTTTACCAACTAAGCCATTTCTCTGCCCCCCCCACCCTTTTTTTTAAGCAAGTGTCTCACTATGGAACCTTCAACTCTCTGTCTTCCTGTCTGAGCCTCCTGCTTGCTGGGATTATAGGCTCATACCACCAACTTAGAGTTTTGGGAGTTTAGTTTTAGAGTTTTTTTTTTCTTTCTTTCTGACTAAAATAACCAGATTGATACTCAGGAAGCTTTTTTTTTTCTTTTTTGGTTCTTCGAGACAGGGTTTCTCTGTGTAACCTTGGCTGTCCTGAAACTCACTGTGTAGACCAGACTGGCCTCAAACTCACAGAGATCCACCTGCCTCTGCCTCCTGAGTGCTGGGATTAAAGGTGTGTGCCACCACCACCCGGCTCAAAATACTTATTTACATATGATTTTATTATAAAATTTCTGTCTATGTAGCCACTTTCATAATTTATCTATTTTCTCAATAAAGGCATTCTGAGTGATTACAGGACAATTATTTTGAAGTAGCCAATAGGATATTTAAATCAGTATCATCAATAATATTTTCCCTAGTAAGGCCATGTTGTCAGCACAATTAATACCTCACATTATCGGCCAATTGCTTATGCTTTACTTTGCCAGCTATAGTTTGAATGCCATACAGAAACTTTATTTAACCAAGTAGTTCTTAAATCCCTTGAGATCAAGAATGGATTTCCTAGTTGTCATTGCTGGCTCGTACCTATAACGCTGGCATTTGGAGGTAAGAGGATTGTCAAAAGTTCAGGCCAACCTGACCTACAAAGTAAGACAAAATCAAAACAAAATAGAATGTGTTTTTCGGTTGCTTGTGGTTTATTCATAAAGGGCTTATTGGGAACAGAATCTTTGTACACAGTTTGCTGTTATTTATGAGAACATGAAAACATAGGGATTATTTCTCTTTTGTTGTTTGTTTGTTTGTTTGTTTGTTTGTTTGTTTTTTCCAGACAGGGATTCTCTGAATTGTTTTGAAGCCTGTCCTAGAACTTGCTCAGTAGACCAGGCTGGCCCCGTATTTCTCCTATTTTTCAGATGCAGAAATCCTGAAGTCCCAACAGCATAAGCTTATTAGGTGACCATGATGATGGGCTCACAATACAAAATTATCCACTTGACTGATTTGTGCCAATTTGGTGAAAAATTTTCTATCTGGCCACAGTTAAAAAAGGGCACAAGTTTGAATCCTTGTGCATTATTAAGTTACCAGTTTGTTTCAACAGACAAGTGCTTATTTTCCATCAATTCTGAGTTTCCTGATTAGTAGAATGGGATTTTTTAAAAAGGCCCCAACCCTTGTCTTGAAGGAGTTATGAATATTAAGTAAGAAAAATAGGTGCAAAATAAATACTCATACCGTATTTATGTGTTTCTTTTGTCTCGTTAAAATGTAAACCAAATAAATAAAGTTCCTGGACAGTCAGGGAGGTAACCCAGAGAAACCTTGTTTCAAAAAAAAACCCACAAAAAATCCAAATTTCATAAGTGTGTGTATATAATTTACTAGTCTTCAAATGATGACGCAATTCTGTATAATTCAAGATTTTATGGAGCACTTTTTATAGCTAATATATGTACAATTACATTGAAACAACCTCAGAGAATCCTTCCGAAAAATAACTATCACAGGGACCTAAACAGAGGCCACTTGATTTGGGATATTCATGTTACCTTCCAGTAATCTTGTAATCTAATAGAAGGAGATCTAAACAGTTTTCCTGAGAAATCCTTTCCCTCAAATTGACAGATGATTTTTGTCTTTGTTGATTTGATGTCATTGTCATTCTATATTTTGTATTTTTATGTCTGGCGCTTTGATCTTATTTTTCTTCAGTATGTTCTGTTGCTAAGTAGAAAATCCTCACTGTGTTCAGACATTGTCTCTTGTTTAAATTACATATATTTGAATTCAAAATAATGATAGGAAATATACTTTGGGATAGAAATGATGAAAAATTTTGTATCAATCCTCTATACAATCTTTTCTGCTAAAAAGGAGCTATTTTCATCCTTTTATTATGAGAGTATTTTCCTTAGAGAGCACTGATCTTTAAAATTCTTTTGTGTTGATAGCCAGAAACTTCATTTGCTAGCCTTAGGTTATGTTCCAAACTCTTCCAGTAGGATCTGATGAACAAAAAAATATCAGAGTGTTAATGAGTTAATATTTTATGGATAATAGTTACATGTTTGAAGAAGTATACAATTTCAATCTTTGAAACAGTTTAAAATAAGCTTTTTAAACAGAATTTCAATCACTGGAACTCTGCTAATACTATTACATACAATTCTCTATTATATTTTCACCTTAATATTTTTCCTGTGGCATTTACTATGTGTTACTTGGACTAAAATGCTTTTTTTCCTTTTGATACTCTTTGTATTCAGTTCTTTGCTTTTCTAGTAGATACATGGTATATTTCAGCAACCATGGACACTCTGTACTAGCTTGGAGCCATTTTGATCACTTTTAAACCAATTAGCCAGCCTTTAACCAGTTCAGTGATCTCTCCCTTGTGGCCTCATGCTGGCCTCACACAGAACAGACCTCTAAGTCTACTCCAGATGGCCAACTGTATCCACTAAACCTTTCAGAATGGTGTTGATATTGCTAGTTTGTGACCGAGTGTGTGCTTTTTATATGTAAGAAAAAAACATGTAATTTATGGATATGACTATAAGTTTCTTTTCTAGGTGTATCTTTAAAGCATTATTCAAGTACAAAGAGTAGAAAATTTTCATAGGAAACTGGAAAACTATCCACATAAGAAAGTTAAATTTGCTTATATTTATTATAGTGATGTAATAAAAAAAAGCTGGTGTTATTTGCCCTGTGTTTTCATTCTTAGAGAAATATATTTTACTGGTCATTCTTTGTCCTTGCTTTTGGATTCCTTATCAAAATTTCCCTTTTTTCATAATCTTTTATCTATGACCCTGTATATCTAAAATATTGAAAATATCTCTCTGCCTCTTGTCATTACCAAACTTCTATCTTTTATGCTTGAGATTTCTAAACTGTGCATGTTAAGTGGATTTTTACATACTTGCCCCAAGACAAGAATTTCAAATAATACCAGGCAGAACTAGGATCTGTTCAGCACTTTCACTTCTTAGATTTTAACTTACATCCTTCCCTGGATCATTAGTGAAAATGAGCTCACTTATAATGAAAAAGAAAAAAGATCAGCTCATATTTGTATGGACTACAATAATATAGCATCTAAAAAAGAATAATGTGAAGTGAGTTGGTATTTTTTGTTCAAGATATACATCTGCTCAATGTAGAATTTTGGTAAGAAATATCTCAGCATCAACACACACATATACTAAAGGTCATGACTAAAAGGTACTGCTTTGATTGTCTGCTCAATTACCAACTGTATGCTCATAGAGAATACTGAGAAGTAAACAATATAGCTACAAAGTATCAAGCACCAAACTCTATAATTTACCTGCAGGGATAATTTATTTTTAAAAGCAACTGGGGCTTGATACTGAGGTTCTTCATGCATATTTTCTCATAATTGTTGACAACTTAACTACTTTTTGAGACAGTATATGTAGACCAAGCTGATCTTGAACTAGCAGAGACTGATTTGCTTACCTTAACTTTGTACCTGTTAAGATAATCAGCATTTTCCTAATATGAAAGGTTAAGATTATTAAATTGCTTTGAAGACCACAAATTACATTCAATATGTTCCTAGATTGTGATTTTATATTAACAGATTCTTAACATATGTAAAATAATTAACTACCCTTTGCATTTCAACTTACATTCAATGCATAAGTACAAGATTGCTAACTTAGTGTCCACACTTCTTTACTCTTACCTTTTCTTCCAATAAAATACAGACTGAGGCTTTTGATTCACAGGCCCAAGGTAAATTTGAATTAACAGGAATAGCAATTACTTTTTAGCATCACTAAGTATAACTTTTAAAGCTTAAGTGATTTTTAAGAATGGGGAAAGTGACAGCTGAGGTAAGAGGAATTTTTAAAAAATGGAAATCTCTACCTACATGCTATTATTATTTTTGGTTCATTATCCAAAATGTGAAGATGAGAGAGAGACAGAGAGAGAGAGAGAGCTTTTAAAGTTAGAGACAAGCAAACTTATGGTGCTAGTAGATGAAAATGATTTTTAAAAATACCTTTCTAATTATGTTTTACTTAACATTGAAGAAGAGAACCTGGGGTGACTAGCTTTTTTTCTCACGAGGAACACAACATAAAAGTTTTTCTTAAAAAAAAACCTACCACACCTACTATTTCTTATTTAAACACTGAGGGAGAAAGTAGTATGTAGAACTGCATAATCAGATGCAGTTCAATTTAATAATTTGAACACTTGTCCTAATACATTTCATTGTGACTCATCAACACACTGTAAGATAACTATTGATCTGCAAATTAATCATTCTAGGTCTTTATATGATTGTATTTATTGAGACCTATTCCATACATTGGCAAAGGAAGAATTGTATGTCATATTTAAATGGAGTTTGATCTTAAGACTGAACACACCAGGGTGCTGCTGCATCACTGAAGGCTTCCACTTTTTGGGAAACATCTATGGGGCAGAAATTATTTGTGCTCGAAAGGACCCCAGAAGTGCAGTCTGATAGTTCTGAACATTAAGAGAAGATACTGTGACCACTGTTTATGAACTGCCAAATGGTAAGACTATTCCTAGAGACAGGGAGCTTGTTTTCCTTTTTTTAATTTTAGGAAGCTGTGTTCCCAAAACACACATGTAAAACTCAGAACAGATCTTTTCCCAGCCAGTGTACAAACTACACGGAGAAGAAACAGGGGAGTAGACAGTATTTTATTATGGTTGATAATTTTTGGTTGCCCTTCTAAGTTAAAAATCTGACATCAAAAGATGTTGGGACATTTTGCCTTTATATGCAACTTCCACTATTTATGTAACTAATTTGAAAAACCAAAGGCATAGAAATAAAATCTGTCAACATGATACTGCTCTCTATGAGGTTAAGATAAAGTTCCAGACTCTTCTAAGGGACTTGCTGTACTGATGAAATATTAAAAGCAGAAGCCTTTGGGTCCAAATATTTCCAGGAAGAAATCGGAGTTTTTACTTAGCAACTTGAGAAACTGTCCATTATTTTTATGTTAAAAGACAGTATCACTTTAAGTATGCCAATTAAGTGTTTGTGTTCCTGGTAAGTTAGTTCTTTCCTAGCTCTGGCCTGGTTGGAAGCTGGATTTCTTAGTCCTCAGAAGAAATGAAGTGTATTTGGGTAGAGATTGGTGGCTTCTTACTTCCTCTCCCAAAGGGCTGCTGGTGTTGGCTTTTTTTTTTTTTTTGAGTGGGGTTTTAAGGAAGAGAAAATGGCTGTATATAAAATTATTGAATAGGCCTAAGTTAAAATTCTGCCTTGATCCGTGAGACAGACACAGATGTCAGGTGAAACAGTTTTAGTACCTGTGTAATTTTAAAAATGAACAAACTCTGCTCTCATCTCAGGTCCCCCTCTTTCTATGTGCTGGTTTCTCTGGACGGTTCAGAATCCATTTTAGAGCACAGGAAGCAAAATATGTGAATTCCACTTGTGCTTTTGCAGGTGCTGTGGTAGCAGGACAACCTTTGCTCACTTGCCGGCCATTACCAAGCTGTTTTTTTTTTTTAAATGTCTGGTGAGAATTAAAGACAACACAGAAAATTTCAAAACCACATTTTAACACCTAAAGTCCACAAAATGTTTCTACACAGACGGCGAACTATTCCACAGGATCCTTCATTTACCAAGTCTATATCCAGATCTGGGAGGTTGAGAGAGAAGGGTGATTCTTTTGAGGCATCGCCGAAGATTGAAAGAAAAAAATTAAGACTCCTAGGTGTTCTTCTGCACACCCCAGCTCTGAAGATATCATTGTTCAGGCTGGGGTCTTCCCAAATGAACGTGCATTTTCGGTTCCGGAGATCTAGTAAAATTATGGAGGAAAAGCAAAACCATGGGGTAATTTTGCGAATAGTCCTAGAGGCTAAGAAGCCAGAGAAGATTTAATTTGCTTCTCAGCTAGACTGGGAGCCCGGCGGTCCTCAGCTGTCATCCCCAGCGGCGGAGGGGAGCGCCGGCTTTGGCGTGGGGCTCCGAGTGGCTGCAGCCCGCCTGCGGCTCGGGCCACCAGCTCACCTCCGCGGAGAGCCAGGAGCTCACCGGCCCGCTCGCCCCAGCTCGCGCGCCGCCCTCCGGCCGCAGCCCAGGGGCCAGCACCATCCAGCCGGGTGGCTGCCAGAGGGCCAGCACCCGGAGCTGGCTGTCGGGGTCTCCCGCGACTCCCAGGGCGCTGGGGCCGGCTCCCCCTTCCCTGCTTCCATCTCCTGCCTCTCACCCAGCAGGCTGCGCCAGCTCTCCACAGCCGCCGCGCACGCACTCACTCGAGGGCGCCCTTCAAGGTTACCCGTGGCTGGGGGCTGGCGCCGACTGTGGCCATCGGCCTCCTCCGCTCTCCTCCCGCCCCTGGTCTTTTGCCGCCGCTGGGCTACCGGCTTCCAAGCCCGAAGCGGGACAAGCTCCTAAAACCCAGGAGGGAAGTTGGGATGGGAAACTGGCCGCCTCCCGTCCGGGTTGGGGGCGGCCTCGGTGGCTCCGGGTGCCCGAACACCCAGGTCAAACGAGGTCGCGGCGAGCCAGGACTGTGGCTCGCCCGGGGCGCGCTCCGCGCAGTGCGCTGGGCCCGGGGTGATGTGGGGGCTGCTGGAGCACGAAGGGGCGAGAGGAGACCCGGGTCCATAGGGGGGCAGAGACCAGCCGGCGGACAAACCTGCTGAGGAAACTAACTAAATAAAAGGAGACTGTTATTTAAGGCGCGGAAATTTGAAATATTTGGACAGGAAGAGAAGAGAAAAAGAGACCTTTGCGAGGACGGAAAAAAAAAAAGTGAGCTAACGGTTTTGCAGCTCCCCCACCCCCACCCGCGGGCTTTTCTGCGCGCACAGAAGGAGCACCTCGCTTCCAGCTTCTTCCCTAGCCTGAGTCTTAGTCTGGGATACAAAAGATGTGCTGGCAGCCCCTGCTCAGATGCTGGACAGAGTTTTACCCCCATCTCAAGCGGGATTTTTGTTTTCTGCCTCTCACTGAGTGTCTGCGTGGGTCGGTTTGCAGGAAACAGCCGGATAAAACCAGCAGTCTATACACACTAAAATGAGACTTTCTCCCCTGTAGTCTTTTGACAGAGGTAGCTTAGAACAGCCAGGAAGGTTTGTAAGTAATGACACTTTCTCCCTCCATCACTGTGATTTTCCCAGTGTTTCTTGGACCCCAGTGAAAATCTAAAATACCTTCCTAGCAACTAAAAACTTGAAAGTCCCCTACCACAAACTCCAGCATCCAATATGATCAAGATAAAGTAAATTTATCATATTGCCAAATAATTTGCTTTCCCAGGAAACAATACTTTATGGATTTGTCAGGTTCCCACAGTGTGTGTGTGTGTGTGTGTGTGTGTGTGTGTGTTCGCGCACAAAAGGTCATCACACCACTGTTTGATGCATGATATTCATTAAAAACAAAACAAAACAAAAAACCCTGTTGATTCACCAAAGAAATGGGACGAAAGGTACCTTGGTTAGTGACTCCAGTAACAGAGTGTGTGTGGACTGAGACCCTGTTAGTGCACAACCCCTCCCTCTTTTTGTAGGTGGAAGACTGGACCTGAGTTTCCCGGTGCGGATTAGGGCACAGAGGAGAAAACTCAGCTCACACCTCGGCTTTATAACCCCTATCTTTGATATAGCAGGGTCCCCTGGGGATCCAGGCACTCTATTCAATTAGATTTTTCATCCTTGCTCTGCACCTGAATAAATTCAGACTCCTCCCGACCGGAGCGCCATGCAATTTATACCCCACTAAGCTCAGCAGCACCTTCCCTTCTCTGCTTATTCAAGAGTTCCGAGTACTGTCGAGGTTTTTGAGAGATTGCATAGCTTTTCATATTTCCTAGAGGGGACCACATAACTCATTTCTAAAATACTCAGATTAGCAAAGCTACTTCCTGCGAGGAGCCAGAGTTTTAATGCCTAGCAAATCTTAGCCTGATGAAGAGATAGGGCATCCTCTCCCTCTGCTGTGCTCAGACCACCCGAGAACAAAGCAATTACAGCCCTTCTCTTTTGCTTTATGGACATCTCGTGCCTTTGTATTTGAAATCTCTAAAGGTGATTTTACATCATGGGATAAAGTAAATGCTGAGACATGTGGTACTTCGAGTCAATTAAACTGTAAATTTGGAATTGCCCAACTTTACGGTTACAATTTGTAGGAAGGGTTTCAAAGCGCAATTTTCAGTAATAGTGCTACTCTTTGAAAATATCCAGTTTACTAAAGCTGTATGTTTTATATAATGAGTCTGTTTTTACATAGAAGTATTTCCCTTTTAAACCATCTCAACTTCTACCTTCAAAACTTTCGTGAGTTTGATGTCATGCTGCCATTGAAAATAAATTCATGTAGAAATGCAGTTAAAGGAGGCTGAAGTTTGGGGAATGTAAATTTTAACCCCATGGTTTAAATCATCCCAGATTCTTTAATATTCACGCTGGAAGATACGCTATTTAAAACCATTTGCCTTCAGCCCTTCCTTGTTAAGACCCCAGAGCCCTGTCCTTCAGTAAACCTTCAAGTACTTTGTTCTTTTTGAATTGAGGGCAGCGAGCTTATGAAGCAGAGGAGGGAACTTTCACATAAAACATCTTTGTTTGTGTGGCAAATGATGAATGCAGTATTTATAAATTTATAAATGGTAACTGCATTGACATCCCTTGGTGACTATCTTTAATATGACAGAACAATTACTAGATGTGGAGAAAATCCTTTTGGAAATTTGAGATCTGACTAGTTCCCTCAATATTTTTTAAGCTAAAATGTCCCCCCAAAAGGTTTTAGGTTCACTTAGTTAAAAAAAAAACTATGGAAATAAATCAAGTACCATATGGAAAAGTTGCTTATTATGTATGGTGAAAGTTTCTATATTTCTTATTCTGTAGACCCTAGGTCTTTATATACGCTTTGGTTTTCTTCTGGCTGAAGTGTTTTTAGTTTCCCATCATGAACACTGATAACTTGTATTTTAATACTTAAAGTTTTGTAGTTTTGCATTTTTGACATTCATGGGGAAAGGTCAGTGTTGCGTTGGCTTACTTGTGGCACAAGCCTGAGAAGTCCATTAAGCAATTGTTTCAATTTTTGATTTTAAAACGCCATCCAATGGGAAGTGCTTCCCCAGGGGTGGTCTCTTTTAGCTCTGACTTTTTAGAGCTGATGTTTGTTTTCACATTGCTGCTTCTGAAATCTACCTCTCTTTCAGCTGTTTGGCTTGATTTTGAGAAAAAGGGAAGATTGGGCATTACAAGGAATTCGCAATGAAATAATGTCAAGTCTGTTCTTCAAAAGTGCTGTTTGTATTCCTTTTTGAAGCCAAAATATTAATAAAAGCAGAGTTAGCTAATGAAATTTTTGGGAGGGGGCACGGGAAAGGAAACAAAGGAATAACTTTGTAATTGGATTCCCAATGTGTTCTTTTCTAATGTTAATACTTGCAGTGTTATGAACTTTTAACACATTTGTGGCAAAATGACCAGGTGTGTACAGAGGAGTTTTTAAAAAAATCACAGGAAAATCTGGTCCTCTTCTGAAAAAGTGTTTTAATCAGGCAAAAGATGCATCAGGACAAAGAATTTTTAAAACAAAGTCTCCAGGTCAGATTCTGAGAGTGGCAAAGGGTAAGCAAAGAAAAAAATCATAGATAAAATATCCAGAAGAAAGGCATAGCTATTTGCAATTACATGTTAGAAATCAGAATTTTGACAGTGAAAAGGATGTTTAAATATTTCAGAAACTTGTAGTGAGATTTCCAATTAGAGAGTTTCAAAGACTTTAACTAGCTGCTTAAAATAAGAAACAAAACAAAACCTTATATTTTAACAAGTGATAGTAAGTCAGTCAGGACAGCCAACCAACTAACTGACAAAGTAAAGGCAATGTGGGAAAGCCCCCCCCCAGCACTCACTGTAGATTTGTGGCTCCCCCGACCCCATTTGCCTCCATCAGGCTAATGACCTCATTTCTTCCATAGAACCTGGCCAAGTCGAAGGCGGTGTCCCCCTTATGATTCCGATGCCCCACATTGCTGGCTGTGTGCTTCACAAGGAACTCCACCACAGGGAGGTGGCCTTCTTTGGCAGCCAAGTGCAAGGGCAGGTTCCCTTCATTATCTTCAATGTTAACATCAGCTTGAAACTCCAGCAAAGCCTGTACCGTGTCCAGGAAACCTGCTCTGGCTGCATCATGAATGACAGCGAAACCAGTTCGGTCTTTCAAATTGGGATTAGCACCTCTGAGTAGAAGTCTCCTGGCAATCTCTGGATTTCCAAGTTTCATAACCTAGGAAAGAAGTTAAAGATAGGAGAATCCCTCCATCTTTCGAGCTACAGCAGTATCTAAAGGGTAATTATTTTTGATTTGGTACTTGAAGAAGACTCATATTGTAGAGTTTGAAGGCTGTGTAGCAGTTGGTAAAAATAGAAGAAAAATTACAAAAATTGATCTTATTGGTGGAATATCCTAAATAAGCCCAGATGTAAGATAAATTGATCAATAAAATAGAATTTCTACAACATGAATAAATTTGATGGCTAATTTGGTTCTTTATCTTTTAAGAAGACCTGTGTAGGTTTTGCTTTTTTTATTCATGAATTCCCTAATAAAAGAAATATAATTTGGTATTTAAGTAAAGAGACTCCTATGCTCATAAAATATACCTGGTGCATTAATTCTGGAAGATTGAATGGGGGTAAAAAAATTTTCCTAGTAGCTACTGAAAACAAATGATGGTGGGTTTCTTTAAACTCCCAGATACATATCATTTAATGTACAACTGATCCTTTAAAATCCCAAAGTTGACATTTTCTAAAATGATTAGTTTTTACATGTTCCTTCCAAATAGATATTGCCTGAAAATTTCAAGCATTAAAATTTTTCTTTACAGGCTATAAATATTGGCTACTAGAAACATTCCATGGTTAGAATTCATTTCAAATTATCAAATATCACTGAGTTATTAAGGTATTAATTCAGCCACTGTGTTCTACAGTACTTATTACATCAATTTACTTCAAACTAAGTTGATGATATATCTTGTATTAGAGAGGAAATGATTGCATGGCTACCATTTTTGAAAAGAATAAAATAGCCATCCTACTATATTAGTTAGTATTTCTCAAAGTTCTAACTGGCCTTCTGATATTCAAGTGAGCAAAAGTAAAAGTAAGATATTTAATGTGTGTTGGAACAGACAGCTCTATCTTGTGGTTTGAGTCATTTAATAATCAACTGGTGATCCTGTGTAATTTCCGTTTGCTCTCATAACGTTTAAGAGAGCTGTTTGTAACCTGCCAATGTTTTGAAAGCCAGACTATAGTATCAATACTTCCTATCAAGGCATAAGATATTTTACATTACAAAAACTTATCTACTGTTGTTTAAATGTATTATATTTTAAGAGATGTCTGTTAAAGATTTCTCATAAGTAAATGTATACAGGAGCACTTGAGATTATAGAGATAATAATATGTATATTATTTACTTGTATAAAATATTATTCTTATTAACATGCCAGAAAACTCCAGTATTTGAACAGGTTTCATGTATATTTAGGTATAGTCATAAGAATCTAAGTTATGTAATTATATAAGTGAGCTACTTACTAAATACTAAATATTTATTAGTCAAAAGTAACACATTTGAAAACATGTACAGAGCTGATTTAATCTCTTTAAAATGTTTTTAAAAGAATGACAAATTAATAAAATATGTTTAGAATGAATAATATTTTAAGTGCAAATACTCCCTTTGTCATGATATTAAGGTTCCACTTTAATAAAACCCTTCCACCCCTTCATTTTGAGCTGTAGAAAAATGACCCCAAATTTATTTTTCTAGAGCCTCCATGGAATACATTTTCTGCTTATTAAAAATTAATATGGTGTAATTTTAATTTTTGCCACATCTCCCTGGAACCTGTCACATTTAAAGAGTTAAAGTGAGATAAACACGAAATAGACACCTTAGATCTTTGTAAAGCAAATATACGATGAAGATCTTTGACTATTCTTCTTGAAAACAACAGCAAAGAAAAAAAGGCTTCTGCAGTTGAGTAAGCGCGATAATCACAGATTAAAATTTGCCATCTTTGGCAGAAAGTAATAGTAATATTGCAAATGATTTTGAAGAAAGTTCTTTCTGATGACACAATTTCAGAGTCAGGATTATGCATACTGAAAAAGACTCCTGTTTGTGTGTGTATGCTTCATTTTATGTACTGATATTAAGCTATAATAAGTGGGTATTATCTAAGTTTGTTAATATAAACCAAAGTGGCTAGTTTTTTTTAAATGTTTGTCAAAATCCAATTACCTTAATTACCCCATTGTCCTGTTTGTGGAAGGTTCTATACTATCTCTTTCTGAACATGGATAGAGTGGCTCAGACTTGGTGAAACTGACCTACCTTCTGCCTTTTCAATAGAAACCCTTTCAGTGTCTGGGGTTTATGGAATTCCTATCATCACCAAACCAGTACAAAAGTATTATGTGGTAAAACAAAAGCAAACCCCTTTCCTTATTTAATCTACCTGAGTCAGGATACATATTTTAGTATCTCTGCATTAGCCATCTTAATAGTGAACATTTTGCAAGGCCAGCTAGCTGTATCCTGATTTAAAATATACAGACCGTGTGAGCTTCCACTGTGGCACCCTGCCACTTAAATTTCTAATTTTTAAAACAGAAACAAAGCTCTCTAATGCCCTTACCCCGGTGGGTTTTCAAAAACTGTTCATGGATAGGAAAAGCTCCCAGGAGTACCACCAGAACACCAATAAAAACAACTAGTGGAGAGAGGTCACTTTCCCATTTCTTTTGTTTCTTAGCCTTCCAGCAAAATTACATGGTAACATTTGGAGGAAGAAAAAATATTATCAGGTACATACTTGGCAGCTGGACATGTGTCATTTGTTGTCTGTAAATCTAATTACTGAAAATTAGAGCATACCACCGCATGACCACGGGGATAATAAAAACATTACTGCTCAGCTCTGATTAGAAAATTCAACTTTTTATTTCTCCTTAATTCTGAATGAGTGGATTAAGTATTATATTAACTGTGAAATGTACATCCTGTTCTGGTGCCCAGGCTATCCCATTCCAAACGAGGAAAGGTCGTTTGTTAAGACATGAAACAGCTTAAGGAAAAACACCCTTCCTAGTAGTCAGGGAAATTAGCTTTAAAGTCAACTATTGGGAACAAAATAGGTGAAAACCACTATTAGCTCTGTATTTATTTCAAATAATAATCATAATAATGTGCTTAAAGAGCTATCTAAAACAACACAGCACAAAACAAACAGATTTCGACGCTAAGACTACTTTAAAATCTCCACTGTCACAAAAACATTCCAAAAATTATGACCAAACCTAGGATTCTCTTTATAGCGAGGATGTTATTGGATTTGACGAGTTTCTCCAAAGTACGTCATTTTGGGGAGTTGGATCCACTTAAAGATATAAAATATGGCAACCAAGTAGGTTTTAAAACCGTGAGGATTTGTACCCCTGGAAACGTAAAAGCTGTCATTTTAGAAGCCCAAGCAACCTTATTAGCTCGCGTTCCCCACCTCTGTGGATACCAACCTGCAGCGCAGTTCTCCCAAATCCATTTTGAGCGTTGACGTTTACATTATTTTGCAACAAACTAGTAAGTTGCTCTAGGTCCCCCCTGGCAGCTGCGGACGCCAACTCGTTCCCCCAAGGCTCGGCCATTCTTTAGGGTCCTGACGATCGGGAAAAGACGATTAGTGGCTTCTCCTTTCCCCTTTTCCTTTGCTCCTAATCAGGCTGCATGATGGCATCGGAGGCTGACAGAAGGACTGGGATGGTTAATCTGGAGTAGAGCTTGGTAGTAAATACTAGTAAGGTCGGCCTGCCAAAAGCCCGCCCCTTGATTCACACGTGATTATTCAGCAAAACTGAGCCCATTGGAGAGGGGCTCTTCTCCTAGCTTTTTAGCTTAACCCCTAAGAAGGATTCTGGCGATTCAACAGAGACACATACAGACACACAGGCATTCTTGATTAATTACTCTGGACGTGAGATGCAGGCAGAGCTGTCACGTACCTAAACTTCACAGTTCTGTGAGGAGGATGTGCGGAGACTTAAGAGACTAGGTCAGCTCAGAAAACACTGCGGAAGAAAAAGTACTGGAGAGAAGAAAAGGCATTAACCCACCCTTGTTTACAATGGTGACTTGAGGCAGAACTTCAGGGACAAGTCCTCCGCAGGGCTCGCTTTCCATCCGTCTCGCGGAAGGGGGTAGTCCCGAGTGCTGCTCGCTAGGAGAGCGCCGCGGTGGCTGGATGCTGACGTGCTGTGGGGGTTAAAGATGATCGCCGAAGGCAGACCGGAGCAGCAGTTCCGTGACCCTCAACTCTCGGGTCTCAACGACTCCCCAGTGGGCTCGGCGTCTTCAGAAGAGCCCCCGGAGCCCGCAGCCGCAGCCCCGCCGAGCCTCAGAGGCCGTGGGAGCCGGGCAGGGCGCAGGTCTCCGGAGGCTGGTGGGCGCGCGGCAGACCCCCGCCAAGTCCGTCATGCCGGTCCCGCCGGGTCCCGGGACTCCCGGCAGCCTGAGAAACGAGGAGGGCGGCGAAGGACGCGTCTACCGGGCTCCGGTCGCTGAGGCAGCTCGCCGCAGCATCGCGGCTGCACCGGGCCAGCGCGCCAGTAACTTCCCGCCTACGACCGAGCTAGCTCAGGCTATGCACTGCAAGCTCTCTCTGAGAGGCTGCTGTCGCCTCTGCAGCAGTTCCCCTCCTTTCCGATTTTCCGGGGGCCTCCGGTGATGGGAAGGGTCCTTGGAAGTGCGGGCGGTCGCCACAGTTCCCGGGCGCAGTCAGTCCCGCCGATTTGTTGGCGTCCGCCCAGCAGCTCGGGCTCCTGTTGCCACTTGGCCAGTTCTTCGCGGTCCTCCGGCCTGTGCCCCTAGCCTGTGCCGCGGACAGGGCAGCGGCTGCCAGCCAGCCAGCTGGGTCCCCGAGCCGAGCCAGGCAGCCCCGGTCCCTCGCGAGCCGCAGCTGACAGTTTCTTTTGTAGTCCCCAAAATCTCTGATCGCTGCTCTCTTCAGGGCTACAGGCATTAGCGCGTCTTTCCACTTTAGGATCTTTCCCTTTCCTCCCTCCTTTGCTTCTTTTTCCGCTGAAGCAACCGCTGCTTCGGTTGCCTCTGCAGAGACGGTGCCGGTTTCTTATCCCTTTTTTCCGACCTCATCAGCTTTTTTTGAAAATAAAAAAATTGAGCGCTTTTTGAGTTGAAAAACCCGCCCCCATTTTAACGGCAGAGTTTTAAGGAGGCTCCGCCGAGTTAGCGCGCCGCGGGAGCGGGAAGGCCGGGCGCCGCCCACGCCCCGCCCTCCGCCCTGGCGGCGCTCTGGCCGGCGGCGCGCTCGCTCCGCCCTCGCGGCCCCGCGCTCTTCGCCCGCGCTGGGCCTGGGTCCACCCGGAGCTCCTGGCCGCCCGCCCTGCGGTCCGCCCCTGCCGAAGCGGGATCGGTGCCGCCCGGACGGGCCTGCGGGCCTGGGGCTGGCTGGCTGTAGTCCGCGACGCCGAGCCCTCCCGGGCGGGACCCCAATGGAGGTAACCTGGCGCGGACTGAGGCCCTAGGAGCTCGGCGGCCCTGCTGCTGGCGGACTGCGCTTGGGCGCTCCCCGAGGCTCCTCAGCTGGAGCGGGCCGCGCTCCCGGGCCAGGCTCGCCGAGTTCGAGCGGCCTGGCCTGAGACTGCCGCCTCCTAGGGGAGCGCGCTCTTGCTGGACTCCTTTGCTCCACCACGGGCCTCGCCACCTGTCAGGTCATTGGCAGGGCTGCGGAGGCGACCCGACTGTCTGCACCAGACAGCAGAGAAGTTTTGTAGACTTGAGTTGTATGAGTACAGGACATCATAATGAACTTGGAAGCTTTAAAGTTCCAGGGCCTAGAAAATGTGACTTCTATTCTTGAGAGAAAGGGAGAAATGGGGTTAGTTGTAAACAGAATTTACACTAAGTCAGAAATGTTTTCTAACAAGGCTATGTCTTTGTTGTGGAGCTTCTTTCACTGGATGGAGACTCGGTTGTTTTTAGGTGGAGGTGAGGATGGTGGTCTAAGTGTAAAGGACTTTTCTGTCCATGTAATTTATTTCACATTCAGCATCCATTTTCTGTACTTTTGACATCCTCTTTCAGGTATATGAGATTACTGCCTTCTATACTTTTATGCTTAAAAGCAAACAAACCAGCATGTTTGTATGATGCATCCAGTGATCAAAATGAAACCAAGCAAAAATGACAAGTTGTCTAATTAGAACCAGCCATAGCACATCTATCCTCCAGTAACATCTGTACCCAGTTACATGGAGTAAAGTGGAAGTATTAAAAACAAGCCAGAGACATCTGGATAATCATCTCGAAGCAGGTTGGCTGCTAGGGAAAGCTGAAACTAGCAAGAATTTGGCAGTGTTCCTTTAAGTTGTTAAGGAAAAAAAATCAGAGCTATTTTCTAAAAATAGTAACTAAAGCTGAATATTGTGAATCAAGTAACAACAACAAAAGAAACGAACTCCTTAAAAACATTTTAACATAATATTTAGAATTCCACTTGATCATTCTGGGAACTGTGAGCTTTTATTTAGTTCAGCTGGAAGTTGTGATAGGACACTGTCACTGTTAAAGTGATAACTGCCACTATTCCAGTTTACAAATGCTGCCTTCTAGAATGTGATGGCATCTTGCTTGGGGAAAATAGGTTAATCGGAAAGAATAAAATTGTATGTATTCTATAAAAAATGGTGTACATGTGTTCTGACTTTCACCAAATAAAGTATCTTTGCTGAATAACTGAGTAAAGAAAACTTGTGATTTCGGGTGCTTTTACCCGGGCTAGCCTACAGCTCCTATGTGTCTCAGGCTGGCTTAGTACTCGCAGTCTCCAATCGGCCTGGTCCGGCTGGATTACAAGTTTGCAACGAGGTACCTTGTTCTATTAAGAGTTTTTGGAGGCCCTAAGAAAGAAGATTTTAATGTCTCACAGGTAATATGTAAATAAATATTAAAAATGATACAGTACCTGCAAATAAGAGAAAAAGCAGGTGAGAGATGGCTCAGTGGTTAAGGTCACTGGCTGCTCTTCCAGAGGCCCTGAGTTCAATTCCTAGCACATAGCAGCTCACAATTGTAACTCCAGGAATCTGACACTCTCACACCAATGCACATAAAATTAAACAAATTATTTAAAAAAGAGTAAAAGCAGCTGGATGTGGTATCCCACCTCTTTAATCCTAGCAGTTGGGAGGCCAGGGCAAGCCCATCTCTGAGTTGGATGATGGCCTGGTCTACATCGTGAGTTTCAGGATAGGGCTATGTAGAGATACCCTGTTTCAAAATAAATAAATACATAAATAATTTTAAAAAGTAAAAGCAGTTCAATAAAGTTCCAATTTTCCTATGACTTGGTTTGTTCTTCTTAGAGAACTAACTTTTTAGATTCATTTTTAAACCTTATATATGATATGGGGGCGGAGCTTGGTCCTGTCTCAATTTAGTATGCCAGACTTTGTTGACTCCGAAAGGGAGGTTTTACCCCCTCTGAGGAGTGGATGCTGGAGTGGGATGAGGGGAAGTGGGGGCGGGAGAAGGGGAGAGAGGGAGAATGGGGCTTGGTCTGTAAAACGAAAAAAAAAAAATGTAAATAAAAAACTTAGGTGGCCTACCATGAGGGAGCTCATTCCTGAGGACCAGGACCCAGAGGTGGGTTACCCAGGATAGAAAAAAAAAGTCACTGAAATGATTCCTAATGATACTCTGCTATCCTCATAGATTGGTGTCTAGTCCAACTGTCATTGGAGAGGTGTCACTCAGCAACTGATAGAAACAGATGCATCCATCCACAGCTCTGGAGTCCTATGGAAGAGGGGAATGAAGATTGTAGGAGCCAGGGGGGTAAAGGGCACCACAAGAAAACCCACAGAATCAACTAACTTGGACTCATAAGCACTCCAGAGACTGAGATGACAACCAGGGAGCCTGCATGGAACTGACGGAGGCACTCTGCAGGTGTTACAGCTGTGTAACTTGGTCTTCATGTGAGACTCCTAACAGGGGGAGCAGGGGGTGTCTCTGACTCTGTTGTCTGCTTTTGGGACCCTTTCCTCCTGCCAGACTGCCTCACCCAGCCTTAATAGAAGAGAAGGTGCCTAGTCTTACTGCAACTTGATATACCATGACTGGCTGATAGCCCTGGGAGGCCCTCCAGTTTCTGAGGAGAAACAGAGGTGGAGGGAGGAGGGGGGAGGGAAGTTGAGGGGGAAGAACTGGTAGGAGAGGAGGGAGGGGAAAACTTTGCTTGGGATATAAAAACAACAGAATTTACATGGCTGAACAGTAGTGCCGCATGTCTTTAATCTCAGCACTTGGGAAGCAGAGGCAGGTGGATCTCAGTGAGTTCAAGGCTGGCCTGTTCTACAGAGTTAGTTCTAGGACAGCCAGGGCTACACAAAGAAAACTGGTCTTGAAAAACCAAAAAATAAATGAATAAATAAAGTGTGTGTGTGTGTGTGTGTGTGTGTGTGTGTGTGTGTGTGTGTGTGTGTGTGTACATACCTGAAAAGGTCAGAAGAGAGCCATTGGATCCCCTGGTAGAGCTGTGAGCTGTCTTAGGTTGTCTGTGCTGGAAACAAATTCTGGTCCTTCTCAAAGGCAGCAAGTGCTCTTAACTGCTAAGCTATCTCTGCAACCCAAAACCCAAAACACTATTCTTAGAGTTTCTTTTTGTGGGGGGTGGGGGAGTAGGGTAGGAGTGGTTCTGGTTTTGTTGGTGCCTTAGAGTGTGCTTCCTCTGCCTACTGTGTGAGCCAGAACTGGCAACTCCAAGTTCAGTGTAGATGAGGGAGCTTAAATAAGCAGTACCAAGTGCCACAGGTGAAAAATCCACTCCCCCTCCCCTCTCCCCTTTC